CACTATGTCCCAAATGTCCTATCTGTCCCATCTATGTCCCATCAGTGTCCCATCAATGTCCCATGACAACACTGCCCCGGGGTATTGTCCGAGTAAAAATAATTTTATTAAATAAAATAACAATTTTAAAATTTAATTTTTTAAAAATTTTTTAAATATTATTGAATTACTTTTTACTATAAAAACTGTATCTTTTATTAATATCAAAAGTTTTATAATATTATATTATAATAGTTATAATTTTAATAAGATCATCAAAAATTAATTTTAAGTTCACGAAACATTGACATTTTTAATTATAAATTTTTTTTTTTGTCAATTTGGATTTGTAAAAAAAACTTTCAAACAAGATTAATCCAACCAAAATTGATAATCCCAAGCTTTCATTTTCCATTACCATTATCAAATTTCGCGAGCCTTTTTGCCCGCAATTCATCAATGGTCGGTGGTTCAACAGTTATTGATGATACTAATTCATTACCAGAACTTTGTTCACTAATAGGTTTCGTCACATTATCCGTATTAACACTAGCATCATTACTTTCCAGACTTGCTGCAATAGCAGCAGCGATCATTGATTGATTAATCTCATCCACATTCTGTTGCTGATTTTCCTGAATACCTTGTAAATTAGGATGTGGAAGTGATTTGGCAAATTCGTCAGCTTGACTTGAAGGCAATTGTCCTTTTACCACGAATATACTATACCCTTTAAGTAATATAAAATATATTAATACAATAATTTTGAAAGAAGTTATTATTATTATTATTATTACTTTGTTTAATGTAACAGTGTCATTCATACCTTCATTTTCTAATTGATTAAGTAACATTCCTAAATATGTTTGACTGATACTTTTTGGACCATGAAAGAGGGAATCTAAATTGTACCAACGTGATGATATTCCACCAAATTTTCTAAGAGTAAACCTTTTTTTTTCAAAAGCCAAATAAAGTTATCGTTATTGAATATAATGAAACTTTTATGTTATCAAAATAAAGTCTATCGTTCTCACCAATGCTCATGTAAATTACATATGTATGCTATCTCATCCCTACAATATGAGATGAAAAGGATTTAAATAATAAAAATAAAGCAATGAATATCATATGAATTTTAATAAATACTCAGGATGAATCCTTGCAATACGACCATCTTCAGACCCAATAGGTATTATATCTATCATATAATCAACTTTGTAAATAAAAATCGGAACTTATTATAGATTCGAAGAAATTTTGTATTATGAATTACCAATATTCCACACTTTCAATGCATGACTTATTACCTACATAAAAAGAAATAAAATAAAAGATAAAAGTGTAGAACGACATAAAAAATTTTCCAAATTTGCAAACATATCAACATACTTGTACGGAAAAGAATCCTATACAGAATAATAAATCAATAGGGTACAGGTACAGATAAAAACAGATAAGTATTTTAAATTACCAGAATCATCCATATTTTGGCTCGAACTGGAATTAGCATTTCGGTTTTGAATATTTTCTTCGGCTTCTTCGGAAATTCCTTCACGTAAAGCAGCTTGTTCCGCCTGATCTAAATTGCTGGCAATTTCACTTAAATCAACGGCTGTAAAATATTCTCCTATAAGAATAAAACATTCTAAATAAATATTATGACATAATAAAGAAAATTTAAATATTTATATATATACCTTGAAGGAGAGAATTCAGACAATGTTGAGCACATAATTGACCTTCTTGCTATGACCATAATAATGTAAATAACTAAATGAAAAGTTATGAACGAATTATAGATAAGTACCTTTTCCCAAATTATATAGGGGATTAGGTCGGACATAATCAAAGTTTTCGACTTTATTGATTTTATATATTAAGTACAAGTAGAATCTAAATTTCTTTTTTTATTTTTTTTGATGATCAAACACTATCTAGGGCTACGGATTCGTGCATTTTCATTTTTAGATTTTCACGTGATCATAAATGAAAATTTAAATACTAGAATAATTGAAGATCATATTAAATTTAATTATGTAAATTTAAAATAAAGTTTTACTACAGTATGTGATATTTAAAGACTTCAAAAGAAAGCTGCTATTTTGAAGCTAAGTTAATACCTTCTTTTATGTAATCAATATTCAGTGAAACAAACACATAAGTATTAACTAATAAACCATATATAAAATTTTATTGAGTAATAGAAAATCATCTTATTCAGTATCATCACAAAAAAAATTTATCCCTACGTGATCATAGAAATATTTGTCACCTTGCATCACACCTTCCACATTTTCCATTTCATAAGTATTCTAGAAACAGAATTTTTTTAGAGTGCGAAATCATATTTGTCATCTTTTATTCATCATATGATTAATTTCTTAATACTATAATGATTGATGCAAATTCTTAAACAACTAATTAAGTTTATGTAATACTATTTTTTTAATCTCTTCATTTATCAAAATAAAAATCTTCATTTTAAATTTTATATTTTATAAGTACTTATCATTATGAATAATATGGGTTGATTGCTAGGAAAATCAGGTTCCGGGAATTTTTTAGCAAAATTGAGATTTTTATTGCATTTTAGTTTTTGATGTTATTAGATTAAAATGTATTAAGCTCTTTATTTTAGTCAAAAATTTCTCGGAACCTGATTTTCCTAGAAACACTCCCATATTACTAAAAATCAAAGATAAAAATTTAAGGATTTGCCATCTTTAATTCCAAATTATTAGTATGCAAATATTTTTAAAGAATGTAAAAATATAGCATTTTTACAATTATAATAAAATGAATTCTTTTTAAGAAATTATTTTTCTCTTAAAAATATAAGTACTTTATATTTAAGTTTTTTATTATATCTATATATTATTATTTAATCTTAACTTCTTTAACAATTACAATAGCATCAGCTATCTTAATAACTACAATAATATCAACTACTTCAATAATTATAATAATATTAATTACTTTAACAATTACAGTAATATCAATTACCTCAATCTTTTTAATCTCTTGAAATTCAAAATCAAACTAATTTAAAGGAATTATTTATAAATTGTTTAATTATTTTAAAATATATATTAATTTATTATTTTTTATTTTAAAATATATATTAATTTATTATTTTTTATTTAAGAATAAAATTAATAATAATAATAATAATGCTAATTTATCAAAAATAAAATTATAAGATAATAAAAAAAAAAAATATTAATAAAAAATATTAAAGAAGAATTATCTAAATGAAATTACTTTATTTATTGCATATATTCAAGACAATTTTTAACATAATCTAGTAATAAAAATAAGTTTATGATTCAGGTTTAATTAAAATTCTTTTAAAATTTTCTAGTAAATAAATAAAAAATAAAATAGAAGATTTAATACATCAATGTAATAAAGTTAAGCAAAAAATAATTAAATTGGTATTACAAAAACAGACTAAAATAGTATAAATAATTAGATAAAGTTTTAGAAATGCTGTAATTATTAAAACTATATATTATAAATGTAAAATATTTTTGAGTTTAATAGTTTTAATATAAACTGTAATTACTTAATGTATTTTTATTACTCATTATTAAAAGGATTTATTTTACAAATTAATTTTATTATCTAAAATTCTTCATGTTTATTATAATATAATTTTTATTATTCATGATTTATTTTTTTTTTTATTCATAAGATTCTTTAACCTTATTCTTTTTTATTATTTATTATTATTATTCTTCAATTAATTATTATCATTATTATTATTCATAATCATTCTTTATTATTATTTTCTTTATTTTCTTTATTCTAATTCTTTATTATTATTCTTTAATATTATTTTCATTATTTTTATAATTAACATTTTTATTCTTTATTATTATTAATTTTTAATCTTCATTATTATTATTCCTTTACTTTTTAATTATTATTTCTAATTCTTTAATATTGAGAATTATCAATTTCATTTTATTTTTTATTTATTTTCTCTTTTTTTTTATTTATTAATTATTTCTTTATAATTATTTCTTATTCTTTTTCTTTAGCTTAATTTCTGATAGTTATTCTTTATTTCAGTTTTTTTATTGTAAAGTTATTTTCTATTATATTTTTTATTATAATTCTTATTGTTATTCTTAATATTATTTTGTATTATTATCTTTATTATTATTTTTTATCAAATTTTTATCTTTATTTCTTAATAATTTCACTTTTTTTTTATTTAATCCATTTTTCTATTTCTTTATTTAAATTTTTTATTTCATTTCTTCATAATTTCTTTTGTTTTTTAGATCTTTATTCAATTAATTTTAAGTTATTTTTTTATTATTTCCTTTTCTTATTTATTCTTTTAAATGAAATTCTTTTATTATTTTATTATTTAATATTATTTTTTATAATATTTTTAAATAATTTTTTTTATATTATTTGATAATTATTATTCATTACATAAAATATAATTACAATAATTAAATTAAATTATGAAAAAGATTTGTATTATTACTATATAAAATAAATAAATTATTTTTGTATATAATTTTTTATAATTTATTTCAAAATAGAAAATAGAAAAAAAAGGCTTGAAACTATAGCTAGAATATCCAACTGAAATGAATAGAAATGGTCAAATGAGAAGAATGAAACTAGTTACATTCTAGCATATGTATTATCACATATTAGTTTATAGAATCATTTTTTGTTTAAAAAAATTGCAAAATTAATAAAAATACAAATAAAGATACCTTAAATAATTGCATCAAATCAAATGAATTCAACAAAATCATGAATTGTACCTTTGGATATGCTTTTGATTTTTTTTAAATTTTTATATTTTTTTAAAAACTGAATGCATATTTACTTTTAAAATCAGATTTCTTAGATAAAGGAAATATTCCTTCACTTTTAGTATGTATATTTGCCTTCTAATATCTAATTTTTTGTTAAAAAGGTAAAAAAATTCAAATAATATTTTAAATAAAAAAAATAAGAATATCCTTAAAAATAATATAATAAAAGCATTTGATCTTAAAAATAATTAAGAATACATAATAAAGATAAAAAGATATCATCAATTAAGTTTATAGATAGAGGTTTAACAAATATTTTTTGATCTATTAGTTTTCAGATATTCATTACTGGATAGGCCTTAAAGGAGTATTAGAAAAATAATCAGAAATAAAATATAAAACTGATCACAGAACAAATAAAAATATTACTAATAATAATATTTCTCAATGGTAATGTGAATAAAAGAAAAAAGATGAATACATAAGAGATATATAATGAATTTGTGAACTAAACAAGTCAAGGTGACTTTGATATGAAGGATATTCTGAAAGTTTCTACTATATATAATTGAATTTCTAAAATAGTAGCTTCATTTAAAATATAGATATCAAAGCATATTTTAGAAGAGACTGAAGTTTATTTAAAAAATTATTTCTTATTTTGTGAAATTGTAAAAATTTTTAATTTATAAATCTGCAATTGCTCAAATATAAAGTTTTTTTTAGAAAATAAAGTATTATATTTTTTCATAGTGATATTTCTCGACTGTTTCTGCATGATTATATAAAATTTTATAGCTTAATAATAAATTTTAATTAATTTGTCCTTAAATAGCATTTTGTGTAATATTTAATATAATTAATTTTAGATAGACCAGTAATTAATTATATGATTTTTTATTCTATATTCTAATATAAATTCTTATTTTAAACTTACTTTTTCTTAAATATAACTGGTTAATAATATGACATAATTAATTATTATTAATTTCAAATTTTTAAAAATTTTTATTTTAATAAAACCATTATAATATAAACTTTTTATAAAAGTGAATATTAATAAAATAATAAAATATTTAAACTTGTATTTTATGATTTATTAATTTGTAAATAAAATTTTTTTTATTTTTATTATTTTTAAATATACATGTAAAAATATACAAAATATATATAAATTAATAAATATATTTAAATATCTAATTAAATATAGTCAGATTTTAATATACTAAAATTTGATATACTAACATATATAAAATTTTGATATAATAATAATATTTTATTTCTTTATTATTTATAAATATATAAATATTAATATAATTTGATTTTTATATAAATTAAAATATATTGTTATTTTAAGTTTTAACAAAATAGACTATTTATTTATATAAAAATTAAATAATATCTTAAAAAAAAAAACTGATTAAAAAAAAGAAATATATAATAATTATTTTTATTAAAAAAAAAAATGAAAAAAAATAAATATATTTTAAAAAAACTTATAGAAAATATATTAAAGTTTCAAAAAAAAAAATTTAAAAAAAAATTTTATAATTATTAAAATTCAAATTTTACAAATATATGATATTTTTAATTCAATAGCTTTAACAAGAATTATACCTGTTTAATGTATTTTTGCCACTTACTATTAGTATTAGTATTGGACCTTGTCTAATTCTTAATAATGGACTATTGGACTTTAGACTTAATGGAGATATCCAGTTCAATTCTAATTCAAATAGACTATGAATATATAATTTTAGTCAAATTTATAATGCTAGCCTAACTAAAATTTGAACGATAATAAACTAGAATGATTCTACTGACCTGAATTAAATTTTTTAGATGACAGAGAGCTTGAATTAATATTACAAATATTTCAAATTTATCTCATCTGACTAGATGTAAACTTTAATATATTTTTAGGGAAACCTAATTATTTACAAATATCAATAAAAATGATTTACATAATATAAATTTTATATAAATATATAGCTATTAGACAAAGTCTATAGTTCAATAGTCTAATTTTTAATGGAATTGAAAGGAATTAAGTCCAGTTGTCTAATAATCCAATAGTCTAAAAGTTCATTAGTCCAAAAGGTCAATACTGCTTATTATTAAAAGGATTTATTTTACAAATTAATTTTTATTTATTTAAGAATTATTATTTTCAATATA